TACGATAGTCTCCTGATGGCACCCATACCTAATGAAAGCATGCTTTCCTCTCATCCTGTGTGGTTAGAAGAAATTAATGCTGCTTTATGTCAGTGCAGGTATGCTGCATAAACAAACATCAGCTTGAACCAAACCATCTCCAGTAGCCTGGCACAGTTGGAAGTTCCCTTTCATTGATAAGTTCTCAAAGTAAACAATATACAGTAGCAATTTCAGTTAATGGGTAACTCATACACATTCCTGTCTGGTGTTAATTATCAATGGAAAGAGGGGAAACAAGTAATTCAGCCTTGTACGTTTGAATTACTTAAATATATTAGTAGTAAAGTAAAGATTTCTTGTTCATATGTAGCATGAAATATCTAAATTCCTTATTGCCATCTTTGCTATGCATAATGGTAGATTAATAAGTCTATGCATGAAGAATATTTGTTAAATAACTAATATGCTAATAATTATTGATGGCTTGCATTTATACTTTGGAAATAAGAGCGCCCTGCTACCTATTTAATAAGAAATAATAATTTTGTTGGTTCAAATAGGATTGGTTTGAAATTGAGATCTTTATTGGAGAAATTTCAAATAGTATTTGAAATTCTGGTTACCCCCGTAGTTAAAAATATAAGTACAGGTTGAACCTCTCTAGTCTTGCACTCTCGGGACCTGACTGCTGCCGAACCAGAGAATTTGCTGAACCATAGGAGGTCAATATGTCTAGCAGCATTACTAACTCTTCCACTGCTTACTGGGTTCCTAGAAGACATTTAGGGGTTAATTAGAGCTAAATAACAGTGCAGAACACAGAGAGCCAGGAATGGTGGCTGTAAACAAACTTTATGGAACCGCCGGAAACCTGGCCATGCCCAGGATAAGTGGATATTCGGCTAACTAAAATCATACTGGACCACGGATTTTGCCGGTTCAGAGAATGCTGGACTAGAGGTTCAACCTGCCATATAAGGCCTTGTTCTATGATTATATATTTAAGCACATTAAATCATTACATTTCCTCCAGTAGCGGTGAGCATAGCAGGGGCAGAGACCATCCATTTGTTCTGTGGATGTACAGTGCCTGACGCAACAGAGCCCCGGTCCACGACCGGGGCTTCTAGCTACAGCAGTACAAACAATAATAATTCTAGAAGTATTTAGGAATCACATTTGCCTTTTATAGCACATTCTCTCTGAGGACTTCAAAGTACTATAAAACATTTGCTGCTTACATTTTCCTGACAACCCTTTGAAGTAAGATGCCAACGAACTGAAGGCAACAAGTCATGGGCTTTGATGGGAACAGAAGCCAGGTTACCTGATTCCTTAAA